TCGGATTATAGGTTTGGTATGAATTGCGATCGAACTTGTTCCCCGTAGGAATCCAATTGTGACTCATGACTATTTTGTTATAAAGAAAAACTGATATCCGTTTATTTTACCGCCAAAATATAAATGCAATATTGATCGAATTACTGGAGTGCTGAGAGTTTTAGTCCATAATAAGATCTACAATGTCAGTCCTATCTGTGTGTAATAATGCAGTACACACACAGCATTCTGTGTTATGATCAAGTGCGTTAAGGCTGTTGATAATAATGCCACAAAACCCGGATCGTCCGATCGTTCACATATAACGGGGGGGGGTGTCACGTCCGTCTATGTCCGCTTGTCTCATAGAATCCAAAAAGGACAGGACATAGGCGGACATAGGCGGACATAGACGGACATAGGCGGACATAGGCGGACATAGACGGACATAGGCGGACATAGGCGGACATAGGCGGACATTAATGGACACCTAAATTGCTAAATAAAATGTTCAATTTCTGCTGTTATAGGGGGATCATGTTTTTTGTCCGTTCGGTACCCTATATTTTCAAAACGGACAAAAAATAGAGCGGACAAAAACGGACAAAAATGGACAAAAACGGACAAAAATTGAAATAACATTTAGATGCTTCCTCCTCCTACTCTTCCTCCTCCTCCCCCTGGGTCTTCCTGATCTTCCTCAGTCCTCTTCCTCCTCCCCTCCTCAGTCCTCCTCCTACTCCTCCTCCTCGTCCTCAGTCCTCCTCATCAGTCCTCAACAGTCCTCCTCCTCCCCAGTCCTCCTCCTCCTCCTGAGTCCTCCTCCTGGGTCCTCCTCCTCCTCTTCATCCTCCTCCTCTTCCTCCTCAGTCCTCAGTCCTCCTCAGTCCTCCTCCTCATCCTTCTCCTCAGTCCTCCATCCTCCTCCTCAGTCCTCCCTCAGTCCCCCTCCTCCTCCTCCTATTCAGTCCTCCTCCTCCTCCTCCTCCTTCTCAGTCCTCCTCAGTCCTCCTCCTCCTCCTCCTCCTCTTCCCTCTCAGTCATCCTCCTCAGCCATCCTCCTCAGTCCTCCTCAGTCCTCCTCCTCCTCTTCATCCTCCTCCTCTTCCTTCTGAGTCCTCCTCCTGAGTCCTCCTCCTCCTCCCTCTCAGCCATCCTCCTCAGTCATCCTCCTCAGCCATCCTCCCCAGCCATCCTCCTCAGCCATCCTCCTCAGTACTCCTCAGTCCTCCTCCTCCTCTTCATCCTCCTCCTGGGTCCTCCTCCTCATCCTTATCATCAGTCCTCCTCCTCCCCAGTCCTCTCCCAGTCCCCCTCCTTCTCCTCCTCCTATTCAGTCCTCCTCCTCCTCCTCCTCAGTTCTCCTCAGTCCTCCTTCTCATTTCTCCTAAGTCCTCCTCCTGAGTCCTCCTCCTGAGTCCTCCTCCTCTTCCTTCTGAGTCCTCCTCCTCCTCCCTCTCAGTCATCCTCCTCAGTCATCCTCCTCAGCCATCCTCCCCAGCCATCCTCCTCAGCCATCCTCCTCAGTACTCCTCAGTCCTCCTCCTTCTCAGTCATCGTCAGTCCTCCTCCTCGGTCCTCCTCAGTCCTCCTCCTCCTCCTGGGTCCTCCTCCTCCTCCTCCTCCTCCTCTTCCTCCTCCCCTCCTCAGTCCTCCTCGTACTCTTCCTCCTCGTCCTCAGTCCTCCTCATCAGTCCTCAACAGTTCTCCTCCTCCCCAGTCCTCCTCCTCCTCCTGGGGCCTTTTCCTGGGTCCTCCTCCTGGGTCCTCCTCCTCCTGGGTCCTCCTTCTCCTCCTCAGTCCTTCTCCTCCTCCTCAGTCCTCTTCCTCCTCTTCCTCCTCCTCCTCCCTCTCAGTCATCCTCCTCAGCCATCCTCCTCAGCCATCCTCTTCAGTCCTCCTCCTTCTCAGTCCTCCTCAGCCATCCTCTTCAGTCCTCCTCCTTCTCAGTCCTCCTCAGTCCTCCTCCTGAGTCATCCTCCTCAGTTCTTCTTCTCCTCCTTCTGGGTCCTCCTCCTCCTCCTCCTCCTGGGTCTTCCTGATCCTTCTCCTCCCTCTCAGTCATCCTCCTCAGTCATCCTCCTCAGCCATCCTCCTCAGCCATCCTCTTCAGTCCTCCTCCTTCTCAGTCCTCCTCAGCCATCCTCTTCAGTCCTCCTCCTTCTCAGTCCTCCTCCTGAGTCATCCTCCTCCTCAGTCATCCTCCTCAGTTCTTCTTCTCCTCCTCCTAGGTCCTCCTTCTGGGTCCTCCTCCTCCTCCTCCTCCTGGGTCTTCCTGATCCTTCTCCTCCCTCTCAGTCATCCTCCTCAGTCATCCTCCTCAGCCATCCTCCTCAGCCATCCTCTTCAGTCCTCCTCCTTCTCAGTCCTCCTCAGCCATCCTCTTCAGTCCTCCTCCTTCTCAGTCCTCCTCCTCAGTCATCCTCCTCCTCAGTCATCCTCCTCAGTTCTTCTTCTCCTCCTCCTAGGTCCTCCTTCTGGGTCCTCCTCCTCCTCCTCCTCCTGGGTCTTCCTGATCCTTCTCCTCCCTCTCAGTCATCCTCCTCAGTCATCCTCCTCAGCCATCCTCCTCAGCCATCCTCCTCAGTACTCTTCAGTACTCTTCAGTACTCTTCAGTACTCTTCAGTCCTCAAAATGTTTGTCCGCTAATGTCCACCAATGTCCGCTAATGTCCACCAATGTCCATCCAAGTCCGCCAATGTCCGTCTGGGTCCGCCAATGTCCGTCCGAGTCCGCCAATGTCCGTCCGAGTCCGCCAATGTCCGTCCGAGTCCGCCAATGTCCGTCCGTGTCCGCCAATGTCCCAAAAAACACGTCCGTTGTCTCATAGAATCCAAAAAGGACAGGACATAGGCGGACATAGACGGACATGACACCCCCCCCTATAACGTAAGCCAGACTTTTGACAGATCCCAGACTCCCCTTCCCCTTCCCTTTATCCCTCCGTGAGTAGCTTTACGAATAGCCATTCAGTAGAAGTAGCACTAGTGTAACCTGAATTCCATACCCCTCTCCCTGGCTCATGTAATTATATGTGAATGATCCCTGAGGAACTTAATTCCTTTCTCTGGAATCAGTTCATTTTTAAAAAGATTAAATTGTGAGCATGCTACAAATGTTGACAATACTCATACTTTATTTAGAATTTTGAATCCCACACAGGATTAACATATAATATGTTTGGGACAGTGATTCAGTGAACATATTATTATTACATTATTGCATATTATTAGAACACTCCTCATTAAAATTAACGTCATAATCGCAAAAATCTCCGCTAAATTCCGGAGGTCAAATTAGCGGCTAAACTGAACATTTCCAGCGAACTTTCGTCTTTTTAATTGCAGCGAAATGTGCGTAACTGAGCTAAAATGACGCAAATCGTGTTAGACCCAAAAATACCCATCTCAATAAGACCAAATCGGTATATTAATACATACACCAACTGCTGGTGATAAATGTACCAGATCGAAAGATTATTATTGATCTAATAATAGCTTGCTTACAGCTTGTATTGTCTAGCAATATACTGCAACAAAGCTCTGAGCTACTTGGCCAGGCACGCCCGTTATTGAGCATGTAGTGATGTCACCAGGGTGTTACACAGGGTTAAATAGAAGCAGTCACCTGGGATCACCTTGACAATCACCTGGGATCACCTTGACAATCACCTGGGATCACCTTGACAATCACCTGGCATCACCTTGACAATCACCTGGGATCACCTTAACAATCACCTGGGATCACCTTGACAATCACCTGGGATCATCTTGACAATCACCTGGGATCACCTTGACAATCACCTGGGATCACCTTGACAATCACCTGGGATCACCTTGACAATCACCTGGGATCACCTTGACAATCACCTGGTATCACCTTGACAATCACCTGGGATCACCTTGACAATCACCTGGGATCACTGACCTGGTATCACCTTGACAATCACCTGGGATCACCTTGACAATCACCTGGGATCACCTTGACAATCACCTGGGATCACCTTGACAATCACCTGGGATCACCTTGACAATCACCTGGCATCACCTTGACAATCACCTGGGATCACCTTGACAATCACCTGGGATCACCTTGACAATGCGTAGTTGTGATAATTGAATCGTATAAGTATTAAGTAACTTATTATAATACCATAGTGTAATCGTAATAACACGCATACTATGATGATAGATGATAATATATATTATATATATTATGTATAATTGTAGTAATTGCTGAGTGATTCCCATCTACAATACTTGGTGGCGTAAAATTTGTTTATTCTGGCATAATTATTTTACTTTGTCTATTTTAATCCAGGTGCGAATATAATTAGATACAATGAATAATAGACCTGAACACAGCACACGCGTGCCAAATAGCATTGAAATCAATGTAACCGTAAGTGTAAACAAATGGCTGAGAAATCTCAATGGTTAATGTTAATAATATGATTATATAATTGCGTCTGCAACCCTTAGACTATACTAGTTGAAATGTGGATCTCTCTAGACCGCAAGATGATATGAATTATTCATTCTTTTAATACTTCTTTACGACTTGGCTAGTTTGGACAATATGATATCCATCCCTGAAAACTGTTTTGGAGTCGCAGCCGTTTAAGAGCCGTTTAGTGACCACTTAAAGGATGTGGGTTGATTGTAGGTTAAGCCCAGCTAGTGACGGTTACAGACGACTAATTATGGGTGTGAAATATACTCCCTCAAATATACTAACTGGACATGCGCGAGTTCGCTAGATGTATCAGATGAGATACACGTGTTTTTAATCAACCGTTTATAATAAATAAAATATGTGAATGTTCCTGTTTCCGGTTACTAATCATTTCGATGCTTACTGTGACAATACAATACATCAGCCTTCTTTGTTTAAAATTAAAAATCTCAAATATGCACATAACATTGCAAATATTTAAATTAACAACAGCATTTTCCTAATTCCTCCCCTTTGAACACATTCCATATTCCAGTTAAAATGTCTAACATCGCCTCTTCCCCAGGTAGTTATAAACTGCGCACTGTTAAAAGGGTTAAGATACCACGTCGCAACAGAGCGCTTTCACCAGTGGCGGGACCAAAGACAAGTGTACGGGCTAAACTTTGCGTCAAGCGCCGAGGCGGAGGAGTTCGGAAATATTGTACGGGACTGTCTGGCAAAACTTTCTGGAACTGTTTGTAAGTTTTTGTTTTCTATTAATGTTAACAAATAATTACAAAATTGAACTGTAATTATGCATAATTTTGTTGTGCGTACGAGAATTATTTAACGTAATTATGCTCTGAGTAGTCTTTTCTATCGTAGCATGACATGAAATATGTCATGGAACTTCATATGATTTACAGTCTAAAGAGAAGCAAACTTGAATGAGGAAAACAGTGTGTGTGATTTTGCGTGTATGTGTGATTGTGTGTGTGGAATATAGTGTGTGATTGTAATCATGCTTGTCCACGTTTATCGAGCTATATATTAACTTGATCACACCATATTGTGAACTCTTTGTACTCTCACGAGTAACCATTCTTCTTCATGTTCTCACCTCTCCAAACAATCCAGCAGAATATAAAACATTCTCAAATTCTCGTGTGATTTCGTCCTGACAGTTTTTAAAATATCTCGAATTATTAAATACATCTTAAAAGAAGCTCGTGAATAATAATTGTACACGTGTTACACAGTTGTGCAGGCAGCAGCAGTAGTAGTAGTATAGTTAGCAGTAGTAGTCAGTTGACACAATTCACAGTCAATAAGTCAACCTCAACTTTTGAGAAAGATCATCCTGTGCTGTTGCAATTACAAAATTCCGTCATTTGACAAGTATGCTTAAGGAATGCGAGCGGGAACTTGAACACAAGTTTTGTGTAGTATTTTGTATGGAATAAAGCCACGCCATGCACGAATGATTTTATTATGGTATGACGTCACATAATCTCAGTATTCCTCAGAGAATTTCTGTTCTTGATCATGGAAATTATTTAATCCGTGCGTATCATATACGTGTGTGGCAGTATCTATACAGTCAACAGATCTTCTCTGTCGGTTATGGTTATTTGATATGAACTTTACATACGCACTAGATTTATTGTGTTGAAACGTTTGAAAGAAGACAAAAAAGGGCCAATTTAATTCCTTTGGGGCTGTGTAACGTTGTACACGCCAAAGTAATCCATACACTATATATAATTAAGTAGTGTGTAGGGTGTGTAGTGTGTAATGTATAAAGACTTAGTCCAAGAATGTTGATCATTTGTTTCCTATAACATGTATAAAATGTATATTGTCAGGATTATGACTCTTACACGGCTTAACAGGGTATTTTTAGCATTTTATACTCGTCCAAACAAAATTCTGATAAAAAACCGGCATATATAAAAGAGATGGTATCTCTATTTATATTCATATATAATATATAGATATATATCTATAAAACCTTGGTGTGTACCCAGCAAATCGAGGTATGAAATTTTGAGTGTATAATATCAGTTCGTCTACATATTTTAACAGAGAGTGTATTGGCAGCCCACCCGTTAGTCCATTATCCCACTCTAGATCGATTACACGGATCCAGCATTTGCTTTATAATACAATATATACTTTATAATATTCTAATAATACAATTATCGCACGTTCTATTCTCAACTGCCATAAAGCGAGGCAGGGCTGGGCAGGTACAGAAAAGTCAAAAGCAAGACCTGGTTCCCTGAAAAGTGAACAATGAACCTAACTCAAAATCCTATGATCTGATCTGAAATTATGTGTTATTATGTTATGCACACGTTTTTGACTATCACTTTATGGGCAGGCCTGATAGCGCCAAATAAAGTTTAGGTCCGTTTATTGATTTATATTTTTTTGTTGGCCTCCACATCTTGTAAACATGGATTGATGGATCGGTCAAATGGATCCACGTGGAGGCGGTGTGTGGTAAACTGCTATTTAGTGCTACAGCAATACTATTACCCGTTCCACTCTCATTTTAAAATATTCCTTTAAAGTAAATTTTACCTTACATTCATGAATCATGATTTCAAGGTCGTGACCATCAAACATCAGTTCTACCTTTTTTTCCTCTTCCTTATTTTACTACTTCTCAAATAGAGATTTGGTTCTTTCATATCCGTTCACGGAAATGAAAAGCGAAAATGCCTTGACAACAATTTAGTGTGCAGACAACATAAAATTTTGTGCAGATAGGGTTCATATCAATTTACGTTTGTTTACAAAAATTTGGATTTGCAGTAAGAATTGCTCTTGTGCAGGCCTCACGGTTACCAGGTTAATTTTTCTTGTCTACCTACGAAAGCGAATCTCTGTTGATTGTTGTTAGGATTTGTGACTGTAAGATGTTATTATGGAGTAAGCTGCAAAGATAGAAACATAGCAAATGTTACCGTATCAGGTTACCGTTGCCTCATGAGATATTGTTTATATTCGCGGAAATGTAGGAAATGTAGGAAGTAGATGGGTATTGCTATTATTCATGTCTTTAACGTCACTAAACCGTCAATACAACTGTCCAATAAGTGTAAAGAAGAATCGTCGGAGGCGGTGCACGCAATGCTCCTCAAAATGCAAGTCACCTTAACAGTATCCCAGTCCTAGTCGGACAGTTTGTAAATTGTTACAGTTTATATTCCATTTACACTATAATTTTTCAACAATACTCATATTATTTGACATAATCATCATTTCTTATGCCTGACATTTCCTAGAACACGGAATGCATTAATACTAGAGATAGGGTTTTGGAATTTGTGGTATGTGTCGACAAATGGTACCAATAGTTTATCTAACATATTATATCAATTGCTGTCTACGTTCATCCCCAAAGGTTTCGAGTGACAATTGATGATAGAATGCAGACAGCTGCTGGTATGCTCTGTTGCAAATTGGGTTACATAATCAGTGGAATTTTTTAGGCTTCACGCTTCCTTATCTGTTATCATCAAGTAACAATTATAGAAATATCATTATACCCTAAGGGATAACATGGTCTTGGATTACAAATTCCAATCATTTTCCTTGGAAATGCCAGTCATACTAATAAAATAAATCTGCAGCGCCTGCTATGGATACGACGGCACAACAGAGGGCACAGGAAGAAGAGCAAAGGCTGGAGGACGAGCGGTTAAGGATAGAGGATGAAAGAAGAAGGGCCGAAGAGGTGCGAGTCAACCTTTTTTGCTTGTTTTATCATAAAACTTGTTTGGAGAGTTTAAACGTTATGTCCGCGTCATCGGGGAAATTTTACACTTGAACCCCCTTTCATTTAAGTTATATACTGTAAGGTGTTGTCAGATAAAAAATGGCGCTGAGATCACCGGAAGTTACGCCCTTTTCCTGTTTTAATGTGTATTTAGGCAAGTCTTAGTGATCTGATCTCACACTCTAGTTCCATCTGGTAGCAGTGCTATTATAAGTGTTATTGTCGATAAGATTACTTGATACAGTAAGCAAACAAATGGTTCAAACATTATCGAATAGAAGAATAATTATATAGAATCTTAAAATCTTGATGAGTTTTATCACGGATTGTTAATCAATAGTTTCATGCTTTGATAAATTGCTGGAATATTAAGTAAAACGATCACTCAGGAAATTGCAAGACGAAATGAAGAAGAAAGATTAGCTATGGAAAAGATTCAAGAAGAAGAAAGACAGGTAATTTGTCCTTTCAATTGCAAGTTTCGAGGACCTTAGGTCAGATGATCTTTCTGACATAAGGTCATTCCTTTCCCCTGAATATTTCTCCAACATTTTTTTTCGAAAAATTTGACTTTATTTCCGACAATTTAAGATTTTAAAAAGACAAAATTTTAAAAGTTACCATTATCTTGAAATACGAAATATGAAATACGAAATTTGATACAAGTTGGGTAAGTGAAGATGTTAAGTTTGGTTACCGAACAGTTGTTTCTCCGATCGTTTGACAACATCATCTTGACCACCACTCCTCACTTCTGTACGACAATTAGTTAGACGTTTTCGCTTAGAGGAAGATATTCCTCTAAGCGATATACATCATCCAGTATATTTAGTGAAATCCTAATTTTTCACGACATATAGATCGAAATCATGACATGTGGTCAAAAGTAATCAACTTTTGCACTACGGTAAATCATATTTCGCTGCGATTCGTGGTTTGATTTTGGGAAATAGTTGTACTTTATTGAATAAAAGAAACATAGACGAGCCTATTACTAACTTTCTTAGTCACCTGACACTCGTTTATAATATGATATACTGCAGTAATACGTAAGAGATTGTACTTTGACATTATATACAATATGGTTATTCATATCACTCAGGATAACCAAAATATTTCCCATTTTCGATCAGAATTTGGGGAAAAGAAAACAGCCGCGGTAAATTGGGTCTTGGTACATCAGATTATCACTGCATTTTGTAAATTATATTCTGTGTGTCATACTTCTCATTTTCCGTAAACTTTTTCCTTACTGATGGAGGAACCGAATTGTTACTTGCAGGAAGCCGCGACGACTCTTTCGTTACAAAAGGTTCTTTGGGAATGCGCGCGCATCCGCGCGGTCTAAATTATAAATCAAACTTGCTGATGCATGAGAAAATTCGATTTTCGACTTTTTTTTTATACTTCTGAATTGTTTGAAGTTGCTTAAAACAAACAAATGCGCTAATTGAACATAATTATGACTACAAATAAATGCACTGTAGATTAAGTCACACCATTCTATACACAGAAATGTCGATAAGTGATTCGAACCTCTGTGGTCTGTAACGGCCAGAGTTTTGGGACCGCAAATGTAATTAGGACTCGTAACACGATATGACAGTAATCCGTGACAATCATGCGCCATGAGGTAATCAGTAACTGTCATTTTTATTCTCGTATTCTACGAGGTGTTAGTCTCGGTAAATCAGCATAGGAAGGAAGTAGGAACCATTACACAAACTTACTGTTCCGCTGAGAGTTGAGACGAAGATTTTGACAAGCTTCTAAACATCTCAATGTTGACAATATTTCACATTCACACCACTGAGTTGGAAGGATACTACCCAGACGGACTGCCTCAGCTCTTCACTTGACATAATTCACAGTTGAAGTCAATTCAGAATAAATATCCATTCTGAAGGCTCCATAGCTCTCGTATCACCTTGTATCGTATTTTGACAGATCAGGTAGACTTTTCGCAGCATGATGATGTAGCAGTATAGCTGTGCCGTGGCAATACGAAATCTTGATTGGTCGACAGAGAACTAGATGTCATGTCGGTCGAGCTTTATTTATCATATGCATTTCTAGTTTGAAGCTAGACAAGTTGAGGCGTTGAATCGGTTCTTTGTAGTTAGTGCAGGTTCTCCGTTTAACCGCCTATATCTGCAACTTATAAATTTTGGTAAGCCACATTTCTGTAAAATACCTTAAATTTACACATGTGTAACCTCAATCAACCGACATTACACTATATCATATATAATAATAGTACATACTTAGTTGGAAATATTTTATATTTATGATGCGATCTTAGCATGGTAAATCTAATTTAAATTCGTTTCAGAGACAAATGGCACCTGCATTACCGTCATCAGCACCACCAGCTCCCAGAGCACCTGCAGCTCCTCCTGCAGCACCTGCAGCCCCCGCTGCACCCGCCGCACCCGCTGCACCTGCTGCACCTCCAGCTCCTGCTGCACCAGCGGCACCTGCTGCACCTCCAGCTCCACGAGCCCCTCCAGCACCTAAAGCGCCACCTGCACCTGCAGCACCTCCTGCTCCGAAAGCACCTCCTGCTCCACGAGCTCCTCCGGCACCTGGAGCTCCACCCGCGCCTCCAGCACCAGGGGCTCCAGCACCGAGAGCGGCACCGAGTGAGTCATTTATCATCGACAATAACTTTGATACTATCCCAAAATCTGAACTAATTTCTGGATCATTTCTATGCTGCTATTAAATCTCACCCAGGATTTCACTTTACAGCAATTGCCCAATTTAATCTATCTCTGCTTCAGGTGGTGGAGGTCTTGGTATGGGTGATCTTGCTGCGCAACTTGCTGGCGCAACTTTGAAGGTGATAAAGACTAGTGTTAATTACTTCAGTTTTTGTCTTTACCTTTTGAATAGCTTATTTGATTCTTTGGTTAGTCCAATTGATGTTATTTATTTGATACTTTAGTTAGTTCGTCATATATCATCGACTAATTGTAATCGTTTTCAGTCCGCAAAGAGCGCCAACAGACCCGCTCCAAAACCAGCCCTGAGTCTACAGGATGAGATGCGGCTGAAGCTTGAGAGGAGGAAAGCCAAATTGTAAGTTCAGCCTCTTATCTTGACACTTTTTGAAATATCTTTAAAAAACTTGTCTTAAGTCTCGCTTAATTTCAAGACCATTAAAACCTCGATTTACTGCAATCATAAACTATGCCATTATAATTAATACAGTTTCAAAATAAGTTGACTCCTTTATAAGCTCGTATGATCTGACTCGCTAGTACGATTTACAAATATAATCGTCATGTACCCCAGGGCTGACGATTCAGGGTCCACAGGAGGAGGTTCGGGGACTGTCACACCCACACCATCGGTAATTAATTAATTAATTAATAGGCAATTTACTAATTAACTATATTTAATTTTTGTATGGCTGATCTTTTTTGTATTGTTAGATTCATTTGTCTGCGATGGCTGTGACACACTTAAGAAAATGTTTTTAAAAAGCAGTGGATCAGCTATTGTGTTGGAGTCGTTTTGAATTGTTGTGACACTCGTCATGTCGTTGTTTACAATAAGTGTCGTTGTTCACCGCTCGAAAATGGCATTTGATGTCTTGTTTGCACTTTTGTATAATGTATTTAGTTAACACTCACTCAAGTTTAAGGTCCTTGTTAAGATTTCTTTGTTAAACTTATTTTACAGCTACAGCATCTTTCACACCTCTTCATACATCAACTCCAGACCTATCATCTTTACACAGGAGAACACGGACACGCTTGTTATTGATTTCAAAAAAGGACTCAAACCCAGTAATTCACAAAAACTAAAAGCACTAGACGATCACAATCAAGTAAGTATTGATCATTACATCCTATTAATCATGTTCATATCACGCATCCATTGAATATATCACCTTGAAATTCACATTTGTCTATCATCATTGCCCAATCACCAACCTTTAATAGTTTAATCTTCACAAGCAACTCACTCACACAGGGTGACACTGACGGTACAGACAATAAATTATTTGACTTCAAAAAGACATTGAAACCCAGCAAATCATCGCAATCACATAAAATACCCCAAGAAGTGAGTAGGACTCTCAGAATGCGGTTAGCAGTAGCAATTAACTAACTAACTAATCATGGTGGTTCGACTAGACTATAACTAGAAGCTCACTATATAATGTTTCATTGGTTTAATCATCGGAGGAGATATTGAAATAATAGAAAATGGTCGATAAGCTCATCCATACCAGTGATATTATTCGTATCACCTTGATTCAGGAGAAAACAGAGAACAGAGTCTTCGGTTTCATGAGGTCTTTAAAACCGAGCAAATCATCCACCAAAACACATTCACCACAAGACTCAACCCCGCGCATGGAGGTAAAAGTAAAACTTACTGCCCTATTTAGTATGTAGCTAACATCGTAAAAATATGGTAAAAGAGCAAAGTTTTAACAAAGCGTTGAAAATAGAAGTTGGCATACCGGAATGTATTATCTAAGGACACTAATAAGTAGAAAATCGAAATGTTTGACTCTAACTAATTTTGACGTCATTTCACCATCTTGACTGAATTGTTTCCTTGCTGTTCTGTAGGAAGCCGACTCTCCAAAACATAAAAGCAAATACTGTGTAAAAGAAACTTTCAACACGGTTTCAACTCTCAAACAAACTACGCGTATGTTCGAAAAGAATAAATCACCAGTGAGTCAATCATTCATTTTCATTTCCATACTTATGTTCATATTCACATTCATATTCACATCTGTCAATTGATGTTCATGACGTAAGCTCTGCTAATCGCATCTGCATGTGTTATTTAACCTGTCGTCCTTTGTAGTCCTCCCTGTAGTTCACTTTCCCCTGTTCCGCATACTGTCCTACTGTCCTACTATCTGTTGTTCTGTATAGTATAGTTATATATCTGCCGAAATGCACCGGTCCAATGATCGGTATAACAGTACGATTAGTTGATCGGTGTATTTCGAACGATGAGGTTTAATTGTGAACATAAAAACCATTAATTACTAATTTTTGGGAGTTTTGCTCGGTATTTCGAGGCAAATGGTAAACAAACGATCTTCTAACGATCTAGTGTTGTCATACAATTCAACGTATATTTACACAATAATCTTATTTTATAGGTGGCACCACCAGACCCTCTTACTAAGGTAAAATGTCGCTAGAAAATCAATTTTTTCCAAAAAAATCAAATGATTTATACGTTTAAATGTTCAATCAGTGTTAATTAATTAGTGAAACTAATTTTACGAGAATATGATGTATAAGACACGGATTCTCTCAGAATAATCTTATAAATTATGTTATTTGACTTGTCAATAGTATTGGATGACGGTCCGTAATGATAATCTTATATATATATATAAAAGTTATATTTGTCCTAGAGTTTTCAGTTTTTGCATATCTTCCAATGAGATGGAAGATTTTTTATCATTAATGATGAATCTTTAAAAATTGTTATAATATAATTATATATTAAAACATAAAATCTAAGGGAATGTTGATTCAAATCAAGTTTGATTAACTTGATTATTAACTTGATTCCAAATGTTTCAAATTTTGTGACCCCAGGCTCTTGTATCTTATCTTCTGATGGGTTGCCTTGATCCTCTTATCTTAAAATTAATTCAAAGCCGTTAAAACTCCTGCATGTCTTGATTTCCAATTCCTGCATTCTGAATGTTTTAAATGTAAAAAAGTTCCCAAATTTTTACTTATCAGCTACGAACTAATCGGAATTAATTAATCTCACTGGTGATAAGATACGCATTCGTTGTGTTCTTTGTAGCAACGATTGAGTGTCGTAACAACCACAGCTGATTATACTACGACGGTTAAAATATCAATGTTTGCCACTCACTGTCTAAACTCTAAACTCTAAACTGATTACACTTAAATAACTACGTTCGTTGACAGCCTAACGGAACCTGGAAAGGACCCAAGAAGGTACAGTTTTTGCAGTGCGCCCAGTGTATCATGCTTACCCTTACCAATCTACCCTTACAATCTACATTCCGATCCCACATATTTGTCTGATAACTGATTGTGTGGTGTAGTTGTCGTCCTCAGATGATTACATCTTATCTTGTACAGTATGGGTCAGAATAGAGACCTTTATATAGACCTCTATTTTGGCCCTAACTGTATTGCTAGATTGCACTTTATCTGTGTGTTGTTAAACTGCAGCTATAGTAATGTAGCTACAACATGCTACAGGGCTCATTACAACAAGGACTGATTTTACCGACTCTTTTCTTGCTGCTAGTTTCTTCTAATGGGGGGGGGGGGGTGCCACCCCCTCTTCTAATCACTTCTTTTAATCACTTCTCCGACCTCTTCTCAATTGTTTTTTCTGGAACGATCAATGATATTGATTGCTTAAAACCGTTTTATGATTTTAATTTTCAAACGGTTAACTTCTGTGATCATATCAGTATGATCAAATACCGATTTTGTGTGACTCTGAGGGGAAAGCTAATTAGCCCCATCTTTCCAAGTTCAATTTAAACTAAGGACTTGTTAAATAGTTCGATGCAAATTTAGGCAACCCCAGTAAATTGGTGCACGATAAATTGGAATTTGGCTTGTTCAGCCTCGGAAAAGTCTCCGGAATAAATTTATGTGTTACAAGTTGCATATTTAGTCAAAGATCAACGGGAATCCTTCACTTAGTCCTGGTTCGGGTCAAACATGGCTTATTTAGGGAATTCCGGTCCCGGACAAAATTTGTGTTAAACTTAAATGTTTTATTTCATGTATTTGATATCGCAGGTAGCGGACAGTAGTGCACCATCCTCGCCCTCGCCTAAACCTAAATGGAAACAGGACCTCGAGAGTAAGTATTCTCTTTCTGTAAATCATATTATCCTGAATGATGTTTATACGCCTATTCCAAGTTTCAATCCAACATTGACAAAATAACTGAGTTGAATTCAATAGCATTTATTTTCTCCTCATTTCAGAGAAAAATAACAACGGATCTAATACCCTAACGTGGTCACAGAAACAAAAGCAGAAAGAATCTTTACAAAATGGAACTCCAGGTAAATATCGGGTATTGTTTGCTGAAGGTGGGGAGGGGAGAGGAGGTGTCATCACCATCGCTATTTCCCAGAAATTTAAAAAGTCGATGGTGAACGAGAAGACACGTAAACTGTCAAAATGTAGTTTTTGATATATCTTATCACCTTTTCTATATTTAAATTTTAGTTATGTCGCCTGTTGGTTGATGTTTATAAATTTCCCGATTTCCAGATAGTCAAACAAGTAGTGGTGAAGTGCTAGATGCCATAGAAAGAATGAAGGAGGAGCTAATCAACGCCTTTAGAGAGGAGATCAGTGGCTTGAGAGACGAAGTTAAAGGTTTGTTACTTTTATTTAGAGGGATCAAAAACTTTGAATAAAATTTTAAATTATATACCAAGTGTTTAAAACATGTCAGGAATTAGTATTAATGATAAATAATACTAGAGGGAGGGAGCAACAACCCAAAAAGTGCCTCATCTATGCTCATCTTGTTATTTAATCTGTTTATGTTGATAACAGACGTGTGTTTTCAGAACTAAAGGAGCAACTAGCGAACAGATAATTTGACGTGATCTCCAGACGACTCAATCTACTCTTATATCAGAGCTCCTCAAAATTCTGGGGCACACATAACCACGAACTAGTCTGTCACGTGTGACACGTTTCCATGGTCACGTGACACGTTTCCATGATAACACTAGTGACCTCACGTGATCGTTGAGGTGGGACAATTGTTTCAGAAATATCACAGGAAAACAGTCAGATGATTAAATATTCGATGTATGAGATCTAGGAACATATTTAGTTTTTTGATTATTGGATTCATAAGATTCATGACATAATCGGCGTTCACTCAATTCAACTGATGAAAAAGACACCGAAAAAAAATTGAAAAACGTTTTTAACGACGCACAGATTTATTTCCGTCGACTGTGTTAATACGAATTTGTAATGATGAAGGTTTCCCGTGTGTATGTTCACTGTTCAGGTAACAAATGCTCACAAATTTTTGATTTCTTGCGCAGTTTTTATGTAAAACAATGGGTTTCACAAGTTCTGATGAAATTTGCCCTAAAATCTAAGTTTGATACCCCCGTTATCAAGCACCGTTTTTAATGATGATTTTGACTTTTAAAATGTGATATAATAATTATGATATTGTGTATTTTGTCTAGATGGGCAAGTGGACTGGAATTTAAGAAGATTTTCAGTATAGCCTAGTATGATTGCGATGTTTAATTCACCAACATTGTAAGGAGATGACATTAGATTACCGTGACGATAGATTTCTAATTTTTATGATCGTTGCACTGCTATAAATACATTTAAATGTTTAGGTGATCGGCATTGTGTTTCATATTCTTAGTTCAAAATGTATTTATAACTATTTGGGATGAAAATGTAGGGATTTTTGTGAAAAAATCGACCAAATTTACCATATTTTGGCTGTCAGAGCTAGACTTAATGATAAATTTTCCCGGTACCGCGGTACTAGAAAGCTCCTTTTCCGGTTCTTTTGTAAGACTCATTTTGTTGTTTCACGGTTTTTTTCGTACTAATGGTATTTTTGTCCGCGTCTAGTGTTTCTACTACTTGATCCATTATTCAATACTTAAAGGTTGGAGCTCCAGATCGGAAACGCTTATCTTGCAATGGAACTTATGGTCAAGGGGGTCTAACCTTAATTTTGTCAGTGCCCATCTTAAAAAAGGCAAAACTGAATCCCCAAAGTTTGGGTTATGACCCACCCTGGCCCCAGTTACAACATACAAGTGATGGTGATACCGATTTAGGGGATGCGAAGCACGGTTTTCAAGATTGATATGTGCTGCGCAGTGTGCAATAGAATGTGTGTGTTGATCTACTAATGTTGTTATATTACTGTACATTTTGTATAGAAATTATTACTCTGTTACAATTGTTGAGTCTTCTTTAGCATTGAGGGCTTTCCCTTCAAAAGTAAAATATCATCGGTACCATAAATCCACAATGTTAAACATTAAAATTGAAAATATCTCCACTTTCACCAAAGGAAGTTCAACCTCTTTCCGAGGTAGGAAAAATTAAGGTCGATCCCCTAGAATTTTGCTAATTCAGACACGAGAACATACAAACCTTTAAAACAGTACACAAGTCCCCTTGTTATGAATAAATTAGACTTTGATATTATACGTTAAGGGTTCTATAGTTCCAGAACTTTAATTTGGTTTCATACCATCATCAATTAACTGCAACTGACTAATTGGTTTCTGGGCGAAAAGTTAATCCCATCAAATCTATCAAATTTGTGTTCAGGAAATTTCATATTTGAAAATGGGACAGAATTTTGAAAAGAGAGCTTTTTGGTTTGTTAAGCTTTCTGCTGTGGGCTTCCTCCGACCGAAATCAAACTTCCAGCACCTCAATCGTGTCATATGCCATCCATAGTTGACTTACTAATTGGTTGCGGGTGAATAAATCAGTCAAAACTGTAAAATTTGGGTCCTGGAAATTTCATCTTCAAAAACTGAAAATGGGACAGAATTTGGGACAGTATGATTTTTCAATTTTCTTCGGGATTTTGACTTCCAGTACCTTAATTTGGTTTCATACCATCATCAATTAACTGACTAATTGGTTTCTGGGCTAAAAGTTCATCCAATCTATCAAATTTGTGTTCAGGAAATTTCATATTTGAAAATGGGACAGAATTTTGAAAAGAGAGCTTTTTGGTTTGTTAAGCTTTCTGCTGTGGGCTTCCTCCGACCGAAATCAAACTTCCAGCACCTCAATCGTGTCATATGCCATCCATAGTTGACTTACTAATTGGTTGCGGGTGAATAAATCAGTCAAAACTGTAAAATTTGGGTCCTGGAAATTTCATCTTCAAAAACTGAAAATGGGACAGAATTTGGGACAGTATGATTTTTCAATTTTCTTCGGGATTTTGACTTCCAGTACCTTAATTTGGTTTCATACCATCATCAATTAACTGACTAATTGGTTTCTGGGCTAAAAGTTCATCAAATCTATCAAATTTGTGTTCAGGAAATTTCATATTTGAAAATGGGACAGAATTTTGAAAAGAGAGCTTTTTGGTTTGTTAAGCTTTCTGCTGTGGGCTTCTCCGACCGAAATCAAACTTCCAGCACCTCAATCGTGTCATATGCCATCCATAGTTGACTTACTAATTGGTTGCGGGTGAATAAATCAGTCAAAACTGTAAAATTTGGGTCCTGGAAATTTCATCTTCAAAAACTGAAAATGGGACAGAATTTGGGACAGTATGATTTTTCAATTTTCTTCGGGATTTTGACTTCCAGTACCTTAATTTGGTTTCATACCATCATCAATTAACTGACTAATTGGTTTCTGGGCTAAAAGTTCATCAAATATATCAAATTTGTGTTCAGGAAATTTCATATTTGAAAATGGGACAGAATTTTGAAAAGAGAGCTTTTTGGTTTGTTAAGCTTTCTGCTGTGGACTTCCTCCGACCGAAATCAAACTTCCAGCACCTCAATCGTGTCATATGCCATCCATAGTTGACTTACTAATTGGTTGCGGGTGAATAAATCAGTCAAAACTGTAAAATTTGGGTCCTGGAAATTTCATCTTCAAAAACTGAAAATGGGACAGAATTTGGGACAGTATGATTTTTCAATTTTCTTCGGGATTTTGACTTCCAGTACCTTAATTTGGTTTCATACCATCATCAATTAACTGACTAATTGGTTTCTGGGCTAAAAGTTCATCAAATCTATCAAATTTGTGTTCAGGAAATTTCATATTTTAAAATGGGACAGAATTTTGAAAAGAGAGCTTTTTGGTTTGTTAAGCTTTCTGCTGAATTAACCCATCGCAAAATTGTACTATTTACTCATGAGCTGGCTTGTGGCTGGGGTCAATCTCCGAAATTAAAAGAAATAAATCTAGATCTAGCTAGACTCCCGGTTTTTTTGTTAACCATTGTTATAACAATTGATGGACTTGCCCGCCCCGTCGCTTTCTACGAGAAGAAAGCAGCGCGCGCGCTACTTCGAAGAAATTTAGACGAGTAACATCAAATATCCGTCAAGTTTTTTGCAAAATATTCGCCCTGTAAAAATTTGCTTCATGTTGTAGTAAGCCCGCTACGCACGATTGCGCGGCTGTATCTTGGCTGTTGCTTCGATAATCGATATTCTCACTAAGTGAAATGACAATTGGTGTCACGACGTGATACAATACAAATAGGTAGTGCGCCATCGTGCATCGACAGTGAGCCGCGCGTGCCAACTGTAGGATGGTTTTTTAGCGCTAAAATTGGTAAGCTTACTCGTAAACTTACAAGGAAAGTGTCCGAAAAGTTTAAAGCATATCCAACCATCAAACATTATGTTACAGTTTTGATTCACGATGTCAATCCTTCGCATCTCGCCGATCTGCATAAGTGTGGTTGCGAGAAGCATTATTGGATGCGCGCGCGCGACCCAGTAGTGCATCGCGCTACAAGTTACAGTTATGGGGGCAGGGGGGTCTTTATGAAATTTCTCTCGAAATTGATTTTATAGTTGTTTCTGATAGAGGGGAGTGATATCTACCAGATATTTTTGGTCCCATGGTAAAATTTGTATCACGTTGCGACCCCCACGGTCGTTTCATTCACATAGCCATGTGCCTACGCGTACTGCGTGACGCGCTTGTTTACGGCGGTCGCGCGCTACTGTGTACTGCAAGTGAGAGGGCTCTGGTTAGAGCAAGTCGTTTCACTATCGTCCTGACGATACAGGGGGAGCCGCGCACTTCGTGCGCGGCGGGTCATACAACGTATGACAAGGTAAAATTTTGTTCCTAGCCGAAATTATTGCCGGTCAAAGGTCAGCGCTCATGTGTAATTGTATTGCGCGAGCGATTTTCAATCGCGCGCCCTGAAAATCGAGTCTAAAAATCTATCTTCTCCTACATTTTTTAAAGGCCTATCTCGAAATTCTAAAACGAGCAAAAGTTTCTAAATGGTCCTTAGAACATATCCTAAAAGTTTCAAGGTGATTGTATTTATATTTGTGTCCGAGGAACATCTCAAGTGGAATGTTCCTTTGTCACTGAGTGTGGCCTATTCGGAAGGAAGGGTTCTGGTCCTATGGGGATACTGTTGGATTGATCGTCCCTTGCGAATTCGTCCGCTAGTTCTTTACCGTATACTCCTTCATGTCTTGGAACAAAGTTCTACTCGATGAGAAAACCTAGCAAGTTGAGTTGGTCTGAGATGTTCAGAACGAACCTGGAGTTAAAATTGGTGCTGTTAAGGGCTTTAAATGCAGCCTGGGAATCTGAGAGGAATTTATGATTGATCGAGATCCTTATTTATCATTAGTCCAGATACTTGCCATGTATAACGCAAATAGCGGGTACGATTTCCTCAATGAACCTGAAGAAAGAATATCTGTCCTGAATTGATACCATGTAACTTCAAGCTTAAAAATGAATCAAAAGTTCGAGTAAATCGTTAAACGTTGTATGTCCTATTTGCATCCCCTAAGCATTGCATTGATGTTTATTCCTGGTCCGGTTAGCTTTGCGTCTCAGAACTAAAGAGGTCCACTATGCTTTAGTGAGCTATGCTGTCCACCAGGGTACTGTAGATCTATGGGTTCCCCGTGTAATGGGGCAGGCTGTGATAAAGCATCTCTGCAGGATGTCCGAGATGAACTGTTTCGAGTGTTGAGAACTTCCGCTGTAGAAACTGAATAGAACCAGTAAGGGTGTTAGTCAAACTCTGCTGCTACTAGATGATTGTAGAGCGTCCAGTCACACTTAAATAAAGAGTGTGGCAAAGCTAACCCGGTCCCCTGAAAAGTGGTTACTGGAGGAAGAAGTGCCAGGAATTCTCGTTATCAGTGTGTCCTCGTAGTCAGAGTTGAAATCCCTAATTCTGTCTTATCACGTTCCTGTGTCTAGCGTGTGTCAGCCCTTACGCATTAGCTGTCTTAACTGAAAAGACCTGAAAAGTGGTTACTGGAGGGAGAAGTGCCAAGACTACTCATTATCAGTGTGTCCTTGTAGTCAGGATGAGCGAATTGGAATCCCTAGCTCTGTGGTGGGTGACTTCGATGGGACCTGAAAGCTGAAAGAGAATTTCCTGGTGATTTAATAGCTCTTAGAGCTAGGTATCTGTGTCTAACGTATCGTCATTTGTGTGTGTACTATCTTGTAACCTGATATCTGAAAGAGAAATTTCCTGGTGCTTGGTAGCTGTTAGTGTTGACTTCCTGGTTCCTATGGGAACTTTGAGTTGGCAAGTCCCAACCTTAGTACTCAACAAGAGAGCACACCACCCGTTAGTGCCAACCAGGCCACACCACGTGGAGGTTCGGAGAGGATTTCGTGACCCTAGAACCAGTACACAGTATAGCCCAAAATGTTCTACTAACAAATAAAAAGAACTTGCAGGTTCATGGTCCTTTGAACGCGCATACACATCTGATCGGAAATATGTAAAGGGAATTTATTTTCAATTCTTTTACTGCTGGCTGCAACTTAAACCAGCCGAACACAAAAATATATTATCATCACTAGTGGGTGGATTGATTCCCATAACAGGACATTTATCAGCACGCAGCACTAATATGAAGTTTATTATCGAATTTAGATTTGGCATATGGAACGTTGTATATACAGGGTGACCCACACGCAACCCTTTAATAACTCACGTAATTCTTCTTAGAATTGCACAGAAATTTCAGAGAATATAGATTATAGATATGGGTCAAACTTAGATTTCCCGAAAGTTTCGTCAAATTAAGTGAGAACGCTTTCAGTTAGGAACTTCAAAGTTTCTAGACACATATGGTTTGATAATTAAAGTGCTTTCCCAAAATTTCAAGTCGGTTGTTCACAATTTAACCGAGTTATGACCCTTAAATGCCCTGATTGGTTGGAAACTGCTTATAGGATGTT